TCTGTGAGGGTGATTCTCTTCGATTTTAAAAAAGCCTTTGACCTAATCGACCACCAGATTTTGGTCAAGAAGCTGGGTACATATAACATCCCCAATGCTGTCATCTCATGGATTATCGACTTTCTCACCTCGCGCAAACAGCGTGTTAAACTCGGCCACGACTGCTTCTCAGAATGGGGCGCGGTCCCAGCGGGGGTTCCTCAAGGTACAAAACTGGGGCCGTGGCTGTTTATCATCATGATCAACGAGCTGGATGTTCCTGGCATCGATCTCTGGAAGTATGTTGACGATACCACTATTTCGGAGACGATAAGCAAGAACCAAGACAGTCACATTCAAGCTGCTGTTGACACCCTAGCAAGCCGTGCGACCGAGGATAAGTTTCAACTAAACGAGACGAAATGCAAAGAACTGCTCATAAACTTTAACACTAACAACCCTACTTCTTTCGATCCAGTTGTTGTTAATGGCAAGCCCATTGACCTAACTACTAGTGCCAAAATACTAGGCCTTAACATCTCTAATGATTTGAAATGGAGTTGTCACATTAACTCCATTGTTAAGAAAGCTAAAAAGCGCTTGTACTGCTTATCTCAGCTTAAACGCTCTGGTCTTGGTACCCGTGAGTTCCAGTTTTTCTGCACTTGTATTCGTCCGATTACAGAGTATGCATGTCCTGTCTTCCATGACGGCCTCCCCGTGTACTTCTCCAACGAACTTGAAGAAATACAAAAGCGGGCTACGCGAATTATTTTTCCTCTTCGCTCATATAATGAGGCCTTGGCTGAATCAGGCCTGACTAAACTTTCAGATCGCCGCCAGAAACTAGTTGATAAACTATTTAAGAATGTTTTAGAGAATGAACAGAACAAGCTCCTGAACTTCTTCCTAACCTAAGAAATATGCTGAAGTTTAAGCCAGTTTTTAAGACGAACAGGTTTTGTAATAGTTTTATTACCTTCTATGCTCTTAAGGCTTGAACGGTTTCATACAACCGTTTTTTTTTAGAACATATATTTAGTGTTCTTATTGCTGTTTTAATACATTTAGTCTATTTAACGTAATTCTCAATGTTTGAAACTTGTAAATAATCGTATAATTCAACGTTTTGTTGTTGCAAATCGGTTATTAATAAACTATCCATCTATCTATCTATCTATCTATCGTACGTATACATGTAACATCGGAATGAATAAATCAGTAAATTTGTAATAATTTAATAACAATAATTTAATATTTATATTGCGCAAAATAACATTTGGATATGATCAAATGCTCGTCACAACACTTTTCCGGGGACTTTGGCCGGATTGCATCAGCAGTTTACAAACAATCGAAGGAAACTTATTCGAAGATGCCCTCTCCCCACAATTCCCAGTAAACAGGCCAGACCACATGTACATCACGGTAATCTCGTGAGTAGGTTCTTTAACGTCCCCTGCCTAACCAAATTAACTAATTAATACATGCAGGAGACGGAACCTACGGTTTATTCGTCCTTATCCGAGAAGACTGGAATGTCTATCCATTTCTTGATATTATAGAAAGGTAGCACTTTCTCCTCACTCATTTTAAGACCTTGAGCGCTGGTCCGGCCGGGGCTCGAACCCTCGACCTCCCGCAACAGTACGGCGCTATAACCAATTGTATTAGTTTTTCAATAATGACTGAGAAATTCACTCACTTAAAAAATAGGATTGCCTCTGGAAAATCTCAAATTCCGTGTCCATAACAACTCTTTTCAGCTGATACCCTTCCCTTTCTCCCTATTTCCAAAACTTTCACGTCCACGTTTGTGCAATTAAAGACTTGGTGACCCAATTAGTCTCATTTTTGTTTCTTCTTGTGTTTATCTGATTCAGTTCTGACCGTACCGCCTTTTCACAATGTGGTGGTCCTTTGAGTGTGTGCCAAATCGCAGACAAATGGGTTTCTAACACGCTTTTTTATTGCGTGGGTTTGACACAAAGAATGCTAATTATAGCCAGGACTCTACCTCCCATAATGAAGCCCTCTAGAGCCTGAAAACTTAATTCAACACGATCTCCCTTCGCCCGTTCGAGCTCTCGCTATTTTCCATCTTACATGGATATACGGT